AGATCACAGTCCGGCAAAAGCCAGCCCCCGAGGCTCTCATTCCATTTGGTGGCGCAGAGCAGATCCCTGCGATGAAGGAAGAAGTTCCCACTGCCGTGAAAAGCAAGACAAAGACGCGCGGCGTGCCTATGATCGCTACCGAGGAGCCGCAAAGCCTATATCGCGAGGAGCCTACTGTTCTGCCTGCGACTCCCGTTTCAACGAAAGCATACAAAGTGCTATCGACTCTGTTTAACGCGGCGAAGGAGTGGGTGTTTCGAGTGCTCCCGCCCAATGTTCCTTCCTGATATTGTTGCAGCGAGGAAGTGGCTCTCCAACAAAGCTCTGTAGCGTGGAAGGACGCACGTACCATTCACTTTCTTCAATGAAAAACATCGTCTGATTTTATGCTCAGATCCAAGCGACGTTTGTTCACCTTGGTTTCGAGCTGCACAAGAGCCGCGGGTCTGCGTGGACGTTCGAACACTCGGACGGGCCGAAGAGCGTGACTGGTGGGTTGTGCTCGTTTCCATGGCTATCACTGTTTCCTCACGAATGCAAGCATACAGTTCACGAACCACACCCGGAGTCGACGATGAGATTCTGGGACGTTCGCCGGTTTGGCCGTCGGCTGACGAAAAGGTTTGGATGGACGCTGGAGTCCTTTGTATTGGACAGTGCGGCTTTCCATCTCAACTAGCCTCCCGAAGAAATCCGTGTGAGCAATGCTACGTCGTAGCATTAAGCCATTTTGGAGACATCAAGTTCAGCGATGGTAAATATAATCGTGCAACGAGAAACCCGCGAGGGTTGTGATGAATGCGAGCCGCACACATATGCCAATATCGTGAAACATGGATGGCATAAGCGCTTCCGCGTCGCCGCCATCGCAGCACTTTTGAACAGCTGAAGGTGCCGTTGTCGGAATGTTTTAGGCACGGTCGATCGTTTGTTATACTCACCATAATCTTCGTCAAGTATAGAGGTACTTTCACCTATTGCCATTTTGTCGATGGCATTGGCGGCTTCCATTTGCGAATCGGGATCCTCAAGGACGAAAGCAGTTGCCTCTGTAACTTAGTGCCATAAGTAAAGTCGCGTGTTGCGAGTATATTCGGCGTACCAGACGTCACCTGGTAGAGCGCTCAGCGGATAACCCAAGGCGACGGCGATCGCCTGGCTACAAGGATCGAACTCCTTGGCTTCCTGGAACTGGCGGATCCCAGCATAGACGCTATCATCCCACGACCTCTCCCAGATTCCCATTCGAAGTAGAAGACTCGGGAAGCCCAGGCGGCTTGCCTCCTGCGCGGACAAGCGGTTGGTTCCAGACGGATCCAGGGACCAAGATTCAAGGCAGTCTAGCATTCGAAAACACCCAGGGAGATCGGTTTGCAGGTCGGCCCAGGGACAAAGACACAAGTAACCTGGGCGCAGATTAGCTGTGCGTCCAAGTGTGCGTCCCAAAAGCTCCACCTTGTACATTACAAGCTCCTCAAAGGCTGAAATAAATGAGCAAGGCAGGACTCAGAAGAACATGGACTCACCGTAGTCCTCGAAGTCATAAGCGATGCCCAGATAATCAAATATGTTGTGCAAGCCAACTCAACCAAACGGCGGGACTGGTGTCCAGAGATATTGTACGTCGGTATATACTGACTACATTGGTTGATTTTATACTGCCGATAGATAAGAGTTGCAGATGGTGTGGTACTCTTGAACCGATATGGATGTTATAATTTCTGAGTCGCCCAATGGATCCAAGAGGGAGCTGTAGAATGTTTGAGCATCAGCATCCTGGTTAGGGAACCAGACGGTCATATTCAGGGGGCGTAAGATCTATACAGGGCCGCCCAATCGAAGGTCACATCCACACGGCGTATTCAGGCCATTGCTGGGAGGGCTGAATTACGCGAATCTGGAAAGGACTTCCAGCTCACCAGATCCCTGCCGAGCAGAGGCAGCATATACGTATTGGCTTCCTGCGAAAAAGTGAGTGAGGTATTGGCTTCCTGCGAAAAAGTGAGTGAGGGAGGGGATGTGGTACCGGCGTCGTTGAACCATCTTACGGAGAACGCTATTCGCTGCGAAATCATTAGTCTTCGTTCAGAAATTGAGTAGCGAACGTACAAGGCACTGTCAAGACTCAAAATCGCACAGCTTGAAAGTGGGAGCTGAGATACTTCTTCTCCAGCTCCCGGTAAGGAACCAGTTCTTAATTGCGATTACATTTGGTAGATTAGGTGGAAAGTACCGACCGTCGTGGAAGACCAGCGCATGTAAATCCTGGACCTTTACGATGCCATAAAGTTGCAATAGATATGGATGGTTGCGTCGATTCATTAACCACGGGCCAGTCACTCGTCACTGATAGTCAGCGAAGCCTGGTCCGAAGGTTTGAGCATCGGCAAGCAGCGAAGGAAAACGCCGGGAGACAATTGCGGGAGACTTTCCCAAGACTTTCCACTGTCTCTTTGCTGTCTCTGTGCTCTATTATAAGGGGATACTTCGCCAGTATCCGGGCACAAGCACACACATGGTCGGAGGAAGAGGTTCGGGCGTTTTCTGGTATAGATCCAGAACCGAGTGAAGAAACGCCGCAAGAAAAGCCGTAGACATGTCCTTTCGGAAACTGCCGGCTCAGCCAAACCGGCATTGAAACGCATGGGGGTAAAAATGACCGGATAAAATCGTGCGTAATTTAACCGCTCAATTTATCATTTAACCGAACTTTGTGCCGCGCCGGAGCGGACCAGTGCAGGACGTGGCACGGCAATGTTGACTTTCTTCTCAATAGTCAGATCCAGAACAGAATATACATAAAAGGGACTCATTATTCGCTAGCTCATTCAATTCCTCCAGCACTTTCATGCACGCCTCTCCGAAATTCGAACCTCTCCGCGATGTCCCAGATCTCTCCGGCAAAGTTCGTCTTCCCTTCCTGATTTCTGTTATTCGGGACTAACAATCTCGCAGATAGTTCTCGTTACCGGGGGGAATTCGGGGATTGGGTACGAGACCGTCAAGGTCCTGCTCTTGAAAAATGCGAAAGTGTACCTGGCGGCACGCTCGCCTACGAAGGGCAAAGAAGCCATTGCTGAGCTCGAAACTGAGACGAAGAAGCAGGCTAAGTTTCTGGAGCTCGATCTCGCGGATTTGAGGAGCATCCGAAAGGCCGCTGAGACGTTCTTGGCAAAAGAGGAGAGGTTGGATATTTTGTTCAACAACGGGTGCGTCGGTCCTTATGGTATGCCTGGCATGAGCGCGCCTAACTGTGGCTGATCGCAGGGGGGTGATGATACCGGCAACAGACCAGCTCACGACGCAGGGGTACGACTTGCGTATGTCGAATTTCGGTTCCCTACACTCTGCAGGCATGCTGAACCCATGTCAACAGAATTCGGGACCAATGCCCTAGGACACTTCTTCCTCACTGAACTCCTTGTGTGTCACTCTCATTTAGCCCTTGCCCAGACCTCGCATAACTAAATTGCCCTCCAGCTTCCCGCCCTCATGGCTGCACATGCGCACTCCGAGTCGTCCACCCCCGGACGCATCATCAACACAACCTCAACCGGACACACACGAGCCCCGGCACGGGACGTCTTCTTCGACGCAGTCAAAGGTGGCCCCAAACGTGACGCGCTCATCAAGAAGTGGGCACGAGTGACCGCGCCTTGGTGAGGCTAAAGCTTAGTAGCACACCGCTGATAATTAAAATTATCTGATGCTTCCTAGGAACCTCTACGGCGCAAGCAAACTCGCCAACATCATCATGTCCGACTACTATACCCAAAACTACCCGGGCGTGCTTGTGTCCTGCTCGTTGCACCCCGGGTTAATAAAATCAGGCATCCAGCGGTATGCCCTTCCTTCCTGCGGGAGTAGATAGCTGATTTATAATTTTAATCCCTCAGCAATGGCAATGGGATCTTCAAATTTCTCACTGGTCTCGTATTCTCCGCCACGCACGTCGGCGCGTACACGCAGCTATGGGCCGGAACGACCGCGTCGGCGGAGGAGACCAACGGCAAGGTTCGTACTATTTAGTGTTATAACCTGCTGTCCACGAAACGATTGAGAATAATTGCACAGTATTTCCTCCCTGTGGGCGTCGCGACAGCACCAGGGGGACGCACGGGAGATAAGCAGTTGGCGGAGGAAGTCATGGCTTATATGAAGGATGCGGTCAAGGACTTCTGATTTTCTCTCATGAATGCACGAACTTGTCTTCAAGATTATTAATACACCACTTGAGATGTTAGCAACGTTCTCCGCTACCACCGCGCCAAAGTGTAACCTCACTCCTCACGCATTTGAGCGCTTCACATCAGTCATTCTGTTTTATCCCTTTTCAAATTCAACCGGCGAAGATGGTCTTGCAAGGCTAACATACCTACGTTTATCGCGGCATCCCGCAACGAAGCCGATTCCGGCAACCACGAACAGAAGAAACAAAATTGCCTTGAATGTGGAGATTACGACCCCACCGGCGAGTCCCGGCCGAGCTCTCGCAGACTCTAGCTGTGCATCCTACCAGATCCTACCAGCTCGAGTCAGTCACAACGTCGCAGTCTATCGGAGAAGCGAAAGAGACCAACATTGAACAGGGGCATTCACAATGGCAAGCTCCACAGAATAAAAAACAGGCGAGGTCGAATTGGGAAGGATTCGAGTGGGGGGGATGAGATGGCCAGTATTCAATGCTGTTAGCCTGGTATTGGCTTTTGAGCGGTACCATGGCTCATAAATCAGTCTCGAAGGCTCCCAAATGGCGTGATGCTGCTGCGAGGCGTTTGAACTTTGAACCGAGCTCATCACAGCCATTGAGGCGGGAGCTGTGAAATCTCATTCTTTCACCCTGCCGTCGATGAATTATAGGTGGGGGTAACTGCATCCCAACGGGACGAGCCGGTGGCTCTATGGTGCAGCAGGGATGAAGACCAAACAAAAAACACAAAACCCAATGCGGTACTGGGCAGGATAGGAGGAGAGGAGGATACTGATAGCAGGAAAAAGGATGACCCTTGCCCGGATTGAACGGACGGCCTTTGCGAAGCACGAGCGATCAGTACGAACTGGAATGCAACGCTCTACCACTGAGCTAAAGGGTCTCGAGCATTCCGTGTCCGGAGACATTGGTAGAGCCGCGGTGTAATAAGTGCCGACTTTTCTAAACAGCGGATGGGGAATTCGTTAATAGCGGAATGGCGCATGAAATCAAAGTGCGAAGCCACAACCTGAAGCATTGTGCTTCGTCCAGCATCAAGCCATTCAAGTGTATTATCGGTATATACTGCCGGAACTAATATTTTATAATGCCGGAACTAATATTTTCTATTGCCAAGTTCTTTGAGGTCGCGTTCCGCAACTCGAGTCCAACAATCCCTCACTAGGCGCCACGCGTTTCCATCTACAAGCTCGATATGTAGAAATGACTTTGAGAATTAAAGCATAAGGAAGACCTACGAAAGCAGCATTCTCTCAGTGTCGGGCAGTTTCGGCTCCACCGCTCAACTGTGAGCCGGTCGGTATCGTACGACTCGCCACCCTCATCCTCCAGCGCAATAGCCGGATCCCGCACCGGGTCCAACAGAGCAAGGAATTCAAGTGTGAGATACCGCAGCTGGGTGAACCGGTGGAGTTGGTGCGACACGGTGTCGATGTACTCCTGCGGCAGGCATCGTTTGAATGTCGGGCTCCCAGTGAAGTGGCACGCGACGCACCGGTTCGAGACGGCCGGTTTGGTTCGCGACGGAGCGCAGTTGCACGCACTCTACGTTGGGTAGATGCCGGGCCAGCGAAGCAACGATTGCGGCAGTGGGGTCGCGGATGTACAAGCTGCTAAAGGTAAGCTGCGCGCCGTCAGACGTGAGGAGCGCGAGCTTCGACAGCGCAGCATCGATTGCGGGATTCTCTGCCGTCCACAAAATAAGGACCTGTCTGATCCCTGGTGGAAAAAAGTCAATGAACGTCGTAGGGCCGACGTAGTATTTGAGCTTGGGCAGGGGCGAGGGTGGCGTCAGTGGGTCTGTTGTTGGGGTCTCCAAGCCGCCGATTATTAGCCTCGAGATATGAGGATGCCGTCCGAGGAAGTTCTCGATTAAAGGACGCGTCGACACTGGGGCAATGTATTTGAAGTCGATGAGGCGAGGAAAGGTGCAGTGCACAGCGCCGGCTCCTCAATTTAATGGGCATTTAAGTTAGTTCCGTAACCTAGGGTTTAGTAATACACATAAGTTTAGCCTAAACTAGATATTATACATATCGTTTAAACCCTATCTAAATCTAATCTCAAATTCAAGATATAAAAATGCATTTAGGTACCGACTAAACTAGAGGTATTGTGACATGTTTGAACACCAATTAAGTGCATTATTAAAGATAGCAAATAGAGAGTCTTTAAATGAGTTCCAAAACTAGAGGTTTAAGGCCTCTGGATATCCCTCTTTAAACCCTGCATTTCGGATTACGTTTAAAGCCAGATTAAACGAGAAGTTTAAGTTCTCGCTTAAATGTGTCTGAAACCTATTGCTAAACTTGAGGTTTAAAGGACCATTAAACTCATCTGCAGATGGTCTGCGGATCATCTGCGGATCATCTGCAGATGATCGTCATCACCAAAATTTGCGTGAAAACGAGCGATGACGATCATCTGCAGATGATCCGCAGATGATCCGCAGACCATCTGCAGATGAGTTTAATGGTCCTTTAAACAACAGGTTTAGCAATAGGTTTCGGACACATTTAAACGAGAACTTAAACTTCTTGTTTAATCTGGCTTTAAACATAATGCGAAATGCGGTGTTTAAAGAGGGATATCCAGAGGCCTTAAACCTCTAGTTTTGGAACTCATTTAAAGACTCTCTATTTGCTATCTTTAATAATGCACTTAATTGGTGTTCAAACATGTCACAATACCTCTAGTTTAGTCGGTACCTAAATGCATTTTTATATCTTGAATTTGAGATTAGATTTAGATAGGGTTTAAACGATATGTATAATATCTAGTTTAGGCTAAATCTATGTGTATTACTAAACCCTAGGTTATGGAACTAACTTAAATGCCCATTAAATTGAGGAGCCGGCGCTGTGAGTGCCGCAAGATACCCATGTAACGATCGTCCGATGGCGAAACTTCGAACTCGAGAATCTCAAGACGACCCATGGTGTTGAGAGCGCTATATCCCTGCGTTCCTGGTGGTTCCTCTGTGCCACTGCAGTATGCATTAGATTGGCTGCAATGCGAAGACCCAACGCACTCACGGATCCCCCAAAGTGTCGCATAACGAGAGAATTCGGACAGAGTTTGCTCTCTCCGCATGTCGCGACACAGACTCCGAGAATTGCAGCAGTTGTGCAAAATTTTGCAGTATCACAACGCGGTAGAGTGAAATGAGCGCCAGCTCGTGGAAAAGTTTCGAGACGCGCGAGAGCGAAAGTTTGGTCGGTGGCGGTGAAAGCGCCATTATTTCGGAGAGGAGCTCGTTTGGAAGCCATCTGACAATGCATCGCGCGCTGCGGGTCAGCACCATGGCGCGGCGCGTTTGTGGCGTGTCTGATGTGGTGGTGGAAAGGAAGGTCGTGTGACCGCGTGACGTTTTGTTTGGTGAAGGCGTTGGCAAATAGCACTGCCACCCCTTGACCAACAACCACGACAATCTTTCGGCCCTCCTCTCTCCCTCAGCGTCGCTCGTCCATTGACTTGAGATCGAACGCTCAACCAGATCCCCAACAGCTCTGCGCCACCTGATAATACCATAATATCGCACTAATTATAGGGATACTTTTGGCCTATAGTATCCCTATAGTTAGCGGCGATTTCTAATGCCACGGAGGCGCATATACCACCGCTGCCACGGAACCGTGGCCTGGGCGAAAAATGGGGTTTTAGCCACTGTAACCACCAAAATGAAGCCTGTTTAAAGCCTACCATATTTTGTGACAGATTAGTGCCATGAATGCCACGAAGCCTACTGAGCCAGAAATCAGCAAATTTTGTGATACAAATAGCTGCCATGAATGCCACGGGACTTTTTAACCCGTATCAGTAAATTTTGTGATACCGATATGTTGCCACCCGTGCCACGGGTCAGTTCGACCGGTATCAGTAAATTTTGTGATACCGGTAGGTCGCCACCCATGCCACGGGTCAGCTGGACCGGTATCAGTAAATTTTGTGATACCGCTAGGTCGCCACCCATGCCACGGGTCAGTTTGACCTGCATCAGTAAATTTTGTGATACCGGTGCCTTGCCACCATTGCCACGGGTCAGTCCGACCGGTATCAGTAAATTTTGTGATACCGGCACCTTGCCATTGGTGCCACAGTGCATTCCAAGTTGTATCAGTGAAATTTGGCATCATTTTGACTTTGATCAGTGAGAGTTGTGATAGTATCACTTTGCCATTGGTGCCACGGGACATTATCTTTTTTGACTTGTGGTGCCTTTGAGAAGATAAATATTTAGGTATGCTGCCATGCTGCCATGGCTGCCACTGGTCATACCACAGAACCACTGTGACTTTAGTCTATACCTCATCCCCATCCTGTACTTGCCCGCAAAGTACGCCAGCACTAGGTCTTCCTCCATGATCTCAGCCTCTCTCCTGACCAAAAACTCCTTTTCATCCCTGATATAGGTTATGACCCGGCGGATTTCGATGTCGAGCCGCTGAATCTCCTCCTTCGCCTGCTCCAGCTTGAAATAGTGGTCCATCAGCTCTCGTGCAGCGGGAATCGCCCAGGACCGAATCTCCGCGTTGGCCATGGGATTCCTCAGTATATCAAAGTCAGAGAGGAAGGTGTAGTCAACAACCTCCTCCCAGATCAATGTTTGACGAGGGGGAACCAATGCCACCTTATAAGCCTAGGATAACCGGTTAACAGGTGGGCAAAGCCCAGCAGGTCTACTGTGTTATTCCTGGGGTACCATAACCTGTTATCGTGTGGGTCAATGTTCTTGTCTCATGCCTTTGGACATCATTCCGGCATCGCTCCGGCAGTGCGGCCTAAGTTCCCACCCTTCTCTGAGATGTACATGGATATGATGACTGCTCGAAAAGTGGCCGAAAATTAATGGGTATCTGCGAGGCTCTCACTCCGGAAAAAAAGAAGTTTCAGTGCTCCTGAAAACGTTGCTGATACTTAAAGTATCAGGGTCGGATCAGCGGGCCGGGCCGGGCCGGCCTTCCGCTCCTGATACTCAAAGTATCAGTAACGTTTTTGGGCGACCCAAAACTTCTTTTTCCCCGGAGTGGCTCACAGCTGTCACTGGTTATTTTGGGTTGCAATTGACAGCTAGGTGCCTGGAATACTGATATGAATCTGAAAAGTGCCGGCTTTGGGAATTTATTTTGCATTTCGCGGGGCAACAGGGCCACCTACCGAAAAATGGTTTCAACAAAACTTGTAGCCCTTGAAGAGCTCCACAAGATGGCTATGGACATCAGTGGGTTCACCAGCATATTTCCATTTTGGGACACTAACGCTTTCGTCCCAAAAAGGGAATTCTTGACATTCGGCCGTTTCTGGCCGATAGTTGGGCCGTTCTGGGTGGTATAATCAGGCAGGGATGTTGTTATATGTGTGTCAAACACATTCAGAGGACAAAATACACTGTTACCAGATGGATATAGGGTCAAAATAGCGAATATAAATAGCATTGTAGCTGACCATAATATCCTGGGGGTCCGCTCATATACACAGTTGCAAATGGTGTCAGAATGTTCGATTAGACTGCCAGGCCACTTTACATTCATCATATAGCACCTGAGGATGAGGACTGTTGCAATTTGAGCTGAATATAAATTTCACACTTCAGCTTATTGCACCCTTCTCCAGGGTGATGGCTATGCAAAAACACCGTTGAACACATCCTGGTGTGTATAAATATCAAAAATGTGAGTGTTCGATGTAACTGAAACCCTATACACCATCCTTTGGGATGATTTTGCTTCATCCTCTAGTTTCCCATATTCAGCTGTGAAAATAGACATGGGTGGTTATCTGAGGACCTAAAACAACATTGCCCAACTATATGAACAATTCCGAGCCAAATAGACGGCCAAATAACAATGATAAAAGTTGAAAATGGAAAATGTCACCTTTGGC